CTGAATCCTTTCCGCTTCATGTGCTGTAATTACGTACATGAGGGACTTTCTTGCCTCAATGGTCTGCTCAGAAACAGCTATAGCAATTATTCTATCCTTCCTTTTTAAAAGTGCATTCTTAATTGCCAGAGGACATGTGTGTTCCCCGAGAGAGACAGAGAGAGCATGAGAGAGTGCATTCTCCTCCAATTGGGGCACGGTCATGCTGCAGTCTCTTCTTCATTTTTTCAGCCCATTGGGATTTGGGGCACAGGAGCACGCATGCCTGGCATATCTTTCAGGTCACTAGGCTGGGATTAGAACCACAGTAAGCCATGTGGGATCCAGCTCCCTTAACCACAAGGCTATGTGGCCAGCTGCTTTCCTGTTTTAAAAGTTAATTTATGTGTTTCTTCCATAAGAGAGAGAGAGACAGAGACAGGGCCAGCCAGGTAGCATGGTGATTAAGATGGTTAGATCCTAAAGTGGCTTACTACAGTTTGAGTGCCAAACCCAGTGACTTGAATATCACACTGGGCACATGTGCATGCATGCCCAGAATCCCAAGAGAATGGAGGGGACGGGATTGCAGAGTGGCCATGCCCCCCAGGGGGAGGTTTTTCATTTTTCCTCTCTTTCTCTCTCTGGTGAGCTCGCATCCCCTTAGCAAGTTAAAAAAATAATAAAAACAGAGAGGCAGAAAGACAGACAGACAGAGAAACAGGAAGTGATATCCAAAAAAGTCTTCATACCATGCACTGTCCTCTGTCAGGCCCAGCTAGATTACAGGCAGGTACATGTGCTCAGGGAGGTCGCAGGACACCCCCAGGACGTCTCCCATGAGGGCTGGGACATTACAACTGTGCCACCGTCTGGCCTCTCCCTCTGTGTGAGCAGTCCAGGTATACCTGGTGACTATAACTGGATGTCATAGCCATTGCTTGGTCTCTGTGAAGTGCTGTGAAGATTCATGTTTTTCTCCACGTATAGGTGGAAGCATACGAGGCAACTCCACCTCCAGTTACAGGAGAGCTCACTCGCCTGCCTCCACTCTGCCCAACTCACCAGGATCAACCTTCGATAGGAAAACCCATGTTACCCGCCATGGAGCATACGAAGGTATGAGTCCCACCAACTGCAGATGAGAACTGTTCTCTCCTCCAATGAACTCCACTCATCCTTAGAAAATGTAAATATTGGCCACCTGACTCCACCTGTGTCTGTCCCCTCATTTTCTCCCCCACCCTGCCTCCTCCTTCATTTCTTTTATGATTCCCATTACTTAACAATTTCACTCATTTACACAACCCCTCAGTCATTCATTCATCCATCTACTCACTTGTTCAAATATCTACCGTGTGTTTTACACGGTGCAGAATGCTTTGATGGATGCTTATGTGAGTCAGACACAGATCTCATCTTCAAGGAGCCTTTAGACTAATAGACAAATTCAGACGATAGATTAAATGAAGATGAGAATGCAGAGAAGAAGGGGATTATCGGAGTGGACTCTGTGGAGGAAGTGGCATCTGACTGGGTCTTTACGATGTATGACATTTTGATACCCAGAGATAGAGAGATGAGATAGTCCAGGCTGTGGGGACGGAGCCCACCACACGAGACACGTGAGAGAGTCAGTAAGTGACTGAGGTGCTTATGTGAACAGGGTTTGAGGGACTCAGATTCCATGCTTGGATAAAAGGTTTACATGTTATTCTTTTTTTTTTTTTTTTTTGGAGAAGTTTTCGCTCTAGGGCTCATGCACTCGCCAGACAGACAGAGAGACAGAGAGACAGAAAGCAAGAAATCATCCCCCAGGGGGGATGATCACACCGCAATCCCTTCTCCTCTATTCTCCTCTTGGGATCTTGGG